GGGCTAGCGATTTTGCGAGCCCTGTGCTGAATTTAAAAATTATATAAGTATATACATGTACCTGAATTTGTTTTGTTAGATGAATCTGCTTTTATTTGGTAAAGTAAAGGTGGGCGTACTCAAGTTTATTATTTGTATCTCTGTCCAGAAGCAAAGCACTTTACTTTCAGTCATTTAAGGAAAAGACGATCCTGTAACAGTGGAAACTTTCATAATCTCTTCTTTTATGAAGAGATTATGCCAAGGGAACGGGCTCGGCAAAATCTTTATGCTGTCAGTCACGGTTCTTTAAAAGACATCAGTATCTGATCATCATCGCCACGTCAGCTACACACACGTCTTTCCTCACCTCTTCATCAGCCTCATCATCTCCAGTGTCGTCATCCATCAGCAGGCCGTTGGGAGTGTGAGCATGAGTTCGCTCATTGAGAGAGTACACGGGCTTGATGTAGTGGCCCATACTGGCCTGCTTGGCTACTGCGCTGTTAAAGGTCCTATGCTGCTGTGCCTGAAGACAAACACACACACGTCAGCAATGTGACTTGTTTTTTCCCTGCTATGACCTGAATTATTTAAAAAGGAAAAAGGTCTACACCTGTCTCATGGCAGTCTCTCCAACCTTGTCTGAATGCTTTCGGATGCTCTCCAGGAAGTCTTTGAGGTCTGACATGGAGATGTCTTTGATCTCCTCTCTCAGTCTGGGCAGATTTTCAGCCATGATCTGACAGAACCTGTACTGACTGACCCTGCAAGGGACACATCAGAACTATGAAAAAAGAAAAGCAGTCCAATCCAACATCATCTACATTTATTGAAAAAAATCAATCAAGAAATACATTTTAAAAAGCAGCGCAGTGCAACAGCTGGCAGACTAACAGCCTGTTAGCTTCTCGCTAACAGGCTTCTTTCAGCAGCCTTCGTCTGATCCTACCTTGGGATATAGACCTTCTCCAACTGCTCCATGGTTTTTAGTGCAGCATAATATCTGTAGACGTAAACAGCCCAGCATTAGTAACAACTCAGAACTACTGCTGCTTATTAGAACCATTTAGCATTAAGTCTTCGAATGGACTTG